TCTACTTTGGGGAGCCTGGCCACCCAAAATAAGAGAGCAACAGCACCAACGCATCGGGAGCGCTGCCACGTATCAGTCAGTTAGAACTTCCAACTTTTTTCCAGTGTATTTATATATCATCTAATATTTCTTTCAGCAAAATAATTGATTTTTTTCACTATTTTTTTAACTTTTTCAACTATTAATGTATACGGACGAACGTTGTACAATACTAAGAGAAACATTATAGTAAGATTTCTATACTGATAAGCGGAGGTTTTAATGTTAATTTTTTTAAAGCTGCTGGAACATTAATTTAATTAAAAAAAAAAAAAAAAAATTTACTTAAATATGACTAATAACCCATTATAATCGACCACTAAATATGAAACAATGATGCTGTCTTCGCTCGTTATTTAGATAAAATTTAATCATTTTTTTTATTTATATTTCATATTTTCCGTACCACAAGCCCATAGTTACTACTGTTGAAAGTCAAAATGAGTTTTTTGTGTCAATGACAAAATGTTATGATGAACGAGTATTAATAATATCATGCACAATCGGATACAATTTAACGGATATTTAGACTGTACTTGGTGTCATCACAAGGGATTGTACTACAAAGGTTCAATGCCATATCCGTTAGAAGAAACAGCCCACTTTTTGAAAAGTCACGAAGAGCACAAATAATATTCTCAACGGTGTAGTTTTCTCTCAAAAAACATCTATTTTTGGAATAAAAGGACCATGTACATTATTACTATTACAAAATTCTGATATCGTATGGAGCATGCCAACGAATTACATGCATGGAACCCTTTTATAGGTATATAAACAACTGTGTTTCAACTATATTGAAGGTGAATAAAAAAATTTTGACAAAAAGGATGTCAAACATCAAACTTTCGCGTGATTAACAGCAGTGTCTGTGTTCGTTAGATAATGTATAAAAATTTAAAGCGTTCGAATGAAAGATTTGTCTTCTCTCTATATAAGTGAAATATGTTTGTATTATATGTTGGATAAAAATTTGAAGTTTGAATCCTTTCTAGATTTAGTAAACAGTATGTCTTGTTAAAGACGACTGTTACAAATAAAGAATCAGATAACTGTGAGTACCCCAGTGAAAATAATCAGGTGACTTGTCATGGTATTTGTCAGGTTTAGTAATTGATTTTACAACTTCTTTTCGTTTACAGATATTACTTAAACTTTACAGATACTTCACTTTCCAAGGGAAAAAGTCTATTTTTAAAAATGTTATAAATTTGTTTTAACTGCTACAAGAAAGTTATGTATTACCTTTTCCTTTTTAATACTTTAATGTGCGTATCGAATACCAACAGAAATGTCTTTAAGATAATGCTTTTTACAATTTTCAATTCTATTTAAGATAACAATTTCCAAATTTTTATTTGAATCTAATAGTTTTCGAAAAAACCTTATTTAATGTATAGTCTTACTTTACAGGAATTTAAATAATTTATATGAATACTGTTCAAATGAGTAAAAAATTATTTTTACCGCTTGTATTCAATACGCACATAAAAGTATTAAGAAGGAACAGGTAATCCATATCTTGGTTGTAGCAATTACAAAAAATTTATTACACTTTTATAAATAGACTATTTTCGTTTGGAATCAAAAGTATATGTAAAGTTCAAGTAAAATCTGTGAACGAAAAGTAGTTGTAAAATCAATTACTAGATTTACTGTTGACGAACGTATTAAGAGACACGAAACAATGTAAAATGTACATTTACAAAAAGTTAATTATCAATTAGATAACTAAGGCGGTAAATGTTATTCACAAAATCATACAATAAACATCAGTTTTAGATGTACCTGATAAGGACGTAGATTCTGTCCCAAATGTCGAATCCATTCTGGTCCAGTGGTGAAGACATTCGACTACCAAAGATCCGGACCAGGTTCAAATCTCTTTACTGGAGCTAAGGGATGCTTTTTTTACTATTCATATTAGCTATTTTCACAGTTTTTAAGCAGTTGGAAGTACAAGTTTTACTTTTTTATTTTTGAATCGCCGAAAATCTAGCTTATAAAAATCCACATGACACTTTCACATGACAATTCTACATGACACTTCTATATGGTAAATTGGCACGACTTTTGACCTGACATATCGCCTGACAAGTAACATGACAAGTCACCTGAATGTTTTCAGTAGGGTATGAGTTGTTGCAGCCTTAAGACGAGTCTGAAATTTTATATGGCGTAGATTCCATGACCTACAGTCTTCATTCCTTGTTGCACTACCCGGAAAGTATGTGAAGAGCAGACTTCATTAATTTGGAGTAATTTAACTTTTTCACATAAAAATCCAATGGGACAGTTTTATAAATAAGTGAATTCACCAAATAGAACTATATCATCCAAATAGCTCGAAAATGGATGCAAAAAATACGTTTAACCGTCATCTTAAAACCAATAATCACATGTACAACAAGAAAACGTTAAGATTTGTAATATCAACGTTTGAAAATGGGTCACTGTTCCGTCACAGTGGCACAGTCATTAATTGACGTTGGATTCCGAAATGTCAGTACTGAAATGAAATTAGAGCTCACATGCATAATAATAATGCAACAATATTATTATTATTTGATAGGTGTACATATATAAGTCTCTTTATTTACATTCTAAAAAATACACACGAGTTAAAAGACCAACGATTCAGTTATACAGTTACATTGTGGAAAAATAGTAGAAATCAAATATTTTACGGATGTTTACATAAATGCTCTGTATACATATGGCTATGAATATGGTTTGTCACAAAAAATACGTAAAATGGGGTGGTCATTTGACTGACAGCTAAGCGTTTGTTATAAGTGGTAAGAAAATCAAAAAAAGCTTTCATAACGAACAATAATCAGTTCAAACAGAAAATAATAGTCATCGACACGAGTGAAGAAGTACATTTGTCCACATTTTCAAACATGTATAAAACTCACTAATAGGTGATATCATTAAGTTAGTAAAAATATATACTTATCAGTAGTAAATTGTGCCACAAGGGTAAAATTATAGCGTTTTCTTTCGTGTTTAAATTCATACGATGCCATACTTTTTTCCTAAAAAAAAATGAATTAGTTTTTCTTACGAAGATGTCGAAAAATCTTAACGACATGATACACAGTATTTTGTGAATCAAGAAGTGTTTCCCTTACAAAAATATAGGTATGTGTTCCAAAGCATACGTTATACGTTTTACGATTTAAGTAATTTTCTACAAAGTTTGTCGTATACCTGTCAATGTGCTAAATTGTTTGGTAACGACTGCATTACATGTTATCAACGCCTTAAATAGAAAGTATTATATTCTCACTAAAAAAAACCAGTGGACAGCGAGTGCTTGGGTATCCAAATGAAGTTATACTTCTTTAAAATGATATGGCAAGCAATATAATTATCAGCACAAAAATATCTTCCATAAAAAAATACTGTGGACGAAGGTGGTGCAATTATCGTTGGGATAAGTATACATGTACGTTAATTGGGTCTATTTTTAATTGATATTATAATATTTAATGAATTAATAATTATATATGACGTGAACGAGAAAAAAGTATAAATTAAAACCATGGCAACACGTGCTGATTACATCTCTCATGACATGATAACATCTGACACATACTCTTACCTTACACATTCCATTGCATATCTTGTAAAAGATATCTTACTTGTTTACCAGTTATTTTATTTTTATCTATTCTTGAATTTCAAATATCAACCAATCGACTAAGACCTCATCCCAACGATCTCAGTCTCTCGATATTTAATATGGAAAAATTGGTCGCATATCTTGCAAGAGATTTTTTACTTGTTTACCAGTTCTTTTATTTTTATCTATTATAAAACTGAAAATATCAACCAATCGACAAAAACCAACCTCCAACGATCCCAGTCGTTCGATATTCAATATTAAATAATTAATCGCATGTTTTGTAAAAGAAATTTTACTCGTTTAACAGTTATTTTATTTTTATCTATTCTAAAATTTGAAATATCAACCAATCGACTAAAATATCGCCCCAACGATTCCAGTCACTTGATATTAAACATAGAAAAATTAATCGCATATCTTGTAAGAGATATTTTACTTATTTAACAGTTATTTCATTTAAAAATGTATACATAACAGATGACGATTTTATTTTATATGTAATCACCTAATTAATACCTTCATTCTGTGAATTATTAGTTATAAATGAAATTTTGTTTTAGTTCTAATAAAATTTTCTTGTTTGGATCATATTTTCAGTATATACGACCTTTTGAGTACGCATAAGAATACGGTTAGTAAGTTATGGGATTATGTCCGTAACGCCGAGGTAGACTCTGGGATCAGGACGGGCTCCCATAAGCCCAGGAGTTCAGTCGAGAAGGAGAAATCAAGGAGCCAATTCGTAACTGTAACAATAGTGAATTTATTGACTGAGTGACTCGTGAGGCGAATGCCCTGACTCGAAGTCGTACAGTGAATAAGGAAAACATAGTGAGCGGGTAGACCGCTACAATGAAGAAGCGCTGCAATCGCAAGCAAGCGCGGAGGACGGAGTCGGTACTGCAGAGCTCTGAGTCCCTACATACTCCCCTCCTAGTACAAAATCAGTAGAAGCAATAATGCTATCATATACAAAAGGTTACGCAATTATAATTAAGTCGACTGGTGGTCGATAGACTAGAATTTTAGTCTTACAAAAATGTTTGCGTATTTCAATACAAAAAAAATAAAAAAAAAAATACAATCTTTCACTAGACATTATTATCACGACTGTAATTATACCGATTGTCGGAAGACTAGATTTATAGTCTTATTTTAACTATCTATTTAATCAAACAAAACAAAAAAAAATTTTTAAACGGTATTAACAGTCAAGAATGGATACGTTCAGTACGTATTTACAGAAAAAATGTATACGTACTGAATTAAATACCGTATGACACGTATAAAGGTGTATAAAAGAGGCTTAAGACTAATTACAAAACTTGATCTACTTAACAGAAGTGTCGAAGGTCACTTTTTTCTTATTACTATAGGTTTTGAGGATAGGGATAGGAAGAGTCGAAACTTGAACCTTTTGAGGGCTCTTAGTAAGCGCCGGAGTAACCAAGTCATCAGGGACAAAATGTGCTGGCTTTAAAAGCTCGGTCGGCACAACCCGAGGGGTGCCCCTATAATCAATTTTGTAATCTTGATCTGAGATCCTCTCCAAAACCTTGTAAGTACCAGTGTAAGGCCTTTCCAGAGGTTTCCTGACAGCGGCTGTTCGCAGAAAAACATGTGAACAAGTGTATAAATCTTTAAAAAAGAAATCGCGAGGTTTATATCTGTGTGTGACGGGTACAGGTCTGAGTTTTTTCATGTACTCTTTGTAGTCCTCGATGAAGATCTGAGGATCAGCAGTGAAATCACTGGGAAGAAAAATTCACCAGGTACCCTAATGTTTGTACCATAGAGAAAACCCGCAGGGGAAGCACCTGTGTCACTTCTTACTGCTGTACGCAGACCAAGAAGCACTGTAGGCAAAAGTTTGACCCAATCTGCATTATTGTGACACATCACGGCCACCTTAAAGCTGCGATGCCACCGCTCAATCATGCCATTAGCAGCAGGATAATAGGCCACCGTTCTTATTCTCTGACAACCGAGAAAAGAAAGATAGGCTTGAAAGAGCTGTGATTCGAACTGTGATCCCTGGTCGGTGGTCAAAAATCTGGGTGCCCCAAAGCGAGCAACCCAGGATTCCTGAAACGCTCGAAGAACTGACGCAGTGGATATGTCTTTGAGAGGCACAGCCTCCACCCACCTAGAGAATCTGTCAATCATTGTGAGAATGTAAGAGTAGCCTTGGGAAGTGTTAAGAGGGCCAACCAAGTCCATGTGGACATGGCGAAACCGATCATCTGGAGCGATGAATTGTAAAGGCTCGTTTTTGACATGTCTGGAGATTTTTGATTGCTGGCAATCGAGACAACCTTTACACCAAGTGGCAATGTCTCT